ACAAAAGTCCTGCTTGACTAAATAGACTTATAAATATATATAATAATTACAGTTAATATCACACAGCGATATTATTTGTAAATTAAAGACTATACATGAAATAATCGAAATATAAAAGATAAGAATTAAGACACAAGATAACGTAACTAAAGTGCAATTAGAATATGATTGTATAATTGATTAAAAGTTATTAAAGCTCAATTGGAATATCGAGCCATATGCGAGGGCGCACAAGGCAATATGGTAGAAGACGCGCCTCGCCCTAAAGGGTTTTGAGATTCTAACCGGCCGCTATGTTAGTATTCTTTTTTTTCAAGTACACACAAAAGAGCGACCGTTATTTTTATCACGACATTTTGTAAAGGAGATAATGTTCATCTTGATAATACTAACATTTGTATCAAAACAAATAAAGCAGGTCAATCAAATCATTAACAAAAGTATAATAGTACAGCACAAGAAAATATTCCATATATGTTTTTTTACTTTTGATTTACGTTAATGTGTTAAAAATTTATCGATTTCGCAATTTGATCATTCGTTCGAAATAGAATCATGTACAAAAAAGCTTATTATTGATTATGTTCGTATCTATTGTTATGAAGCTGAGATATTTTTTTATCATTTGTCACAGAAAACCGTCACAAGTGTCATTGATTACAATGATTATGTATATCTCATAACATGAGATGTTTATTCATATAATGAGATTTGCACAATTGAAAAGTTTTTAATCATTCACAAGTGGATAAATCATAGTCTCAACACGCGCTCTGATATATCTGATCTGATGTCGCGCGATTTTTTCATTTGACGACATATTCTTAAACGGCGTGTAAAATGACATCGCAATGTCTCGCGCAATGAAGCCTTGATACGTCCGCTAATTAACACACGCCGTTGCTGCTGTGTAGTGACTCAGCTGTACAAATGAACTAGGCGTATCTAGTCGCGACCTACGGCGTTCTTTGTTATGGACATAATATAACAAGGCCATGTTTGTAGTAATAATGTAACAAGTACACATGTTTATAGTATGGGTTGTTAATCCCCGTAACTTTGAAAAAATTGGAGAACAATATTTATCAAAAATATTACCAATACGCGCTATATATTCTTCTGTTGATATTTATTTCAGTAAAAATTATTCTTTTGCAAGAGAAAAAGAATAATTAACACATTGAGAATGTTATACCATTTAAACATTTCGAAAATTCATCACGCAAATACCGTGATTAATTCGAATCGATCTTCGTTTTCTTTATAAAAGAAATATTGAAATATTTAGAATGGTAAAGATCATCCTTGGAATCATCTATAGTCTTTCACTCTTATACCCTGCACGAAGATGCGTAGAATATAAATATTATACTTCTTCTTTGCAAAGAAACTGCGGATAGTAAATGCGCCGCAAGACATGCAAAACAAATTTTATTTAAATTCTAATTTGATAGAAAATAGATTACCGTTCTTTTTGGCACGCGATCACCCAGCATATGACTGATGATGAAGAGTGCATTGATGAGAATATAACCGGCGACCGAGACGTAGATAGTGGCTGCATCGTCCAGCTTGAATCGCGGCCTGTTGAAAATGCGCTGGAACGAGTTCATCGGATCCACTGATAAACCAATTGCAAAAACGGCCAGTATCTGCATCGAAATATTAAAACATATCTAATTAAATTTCAGGAGTGCTGAAAAAGTCGCACATCTTTTCTAGTTTTTTTCATTTACGTGAATTCTGAAATATTAAGACTTTTATAAATATTCTAAGAAATTAAAATGTATTTAACGCTAACACACACACACACACACACACACACACACACACACACACACACACACAACATATATATATTTAAAATTCATAACACTTGAAAAAATAAAAATAATATAGATCAAGTATTGAGCAAATAAAGAAATGTTATAATAATACATCATATACGCTAAGATATCGGAAAATACATTATACACTTCTTAACAAAATTAAAGGATTACTTGTTCTTCCCTGCAAAAATAAGCAAATTTTAAGATAGAATAACTTCGTAGAAAATCATCGTATCGAGGTATTTAAAAATGCATTTTATAACTTGAGATCTCTACTTTCAGATTAATACTTTAAAAAAGTCTTACTGATATTTTGTAACATTTTGGTACGATAATTTTTTACGAAATTATTCTATCTTGAAATTTGTCTATTTAAAAAAAAATGGAATAGAATTTTAAATAGAATTTTAAATAGAATTTTATTTTAAATAGTCAAGCTAGGTCTTTAGTATTGAAAGAATGTGTGAATTTATATATCCAAATTCAATTCTGCACGTTGAGTCTATTTTCAGTTTTGAAACGTAATCTTAATAGAGCTAGAGTAATATGACAAATTAAATTGAGCATTTTAACAATGATGTTCAAATATCTTTATAATAATCTTTATAATAATCATTAAACACTATAATATCGGAATAATTTTATTGTGAAAAATATTATTTCGGCCGAAGATTGAATCCGGATCGCATATTCCATATGAGTGTCCTCGCCGTTAGACCATCGAGGCGTAATATTTTTCGCAATAACCGATGTGTATAAAGAGTACGCATTTTAAATGCCACGTGTATAACCAATATTAAAGTATATATCATATTAGACTGCAATGAACACACAACAGTTAAGAATAGTTAAGAATAGTTAAGAAATAAAGGCTAAACGTTAAGCTTTAATATTCTCTGAAATAATTCTGTGTAAATTCATATATCTAAATCCAAACTGCGCGTTGAACTTATTTTCGATCTTGAAACGCAAGAGGCTTCGATCTACGGCCAAGGCTAATATTTTTTCGCAATAAAACTACATTTTAAGATGCTTAAAGATTATTATAAAAATGCTTGCATCATTACATTGATTGCCAATTTAATTTGTGATATGATGATATGATGATGAATATATAATACTACTTAGTTCTATTAAGAGTTTGAAGATTGCGTTTCAAAACTGAAAATAAATTTTGCGCACTACAGTTTGCAAGATTGGATTTGTGATATATAAATTCACATGGAATTGTTTCAATACTAAAGATCAAGTTGTTTAGTCTAATTTATTTCTTAACTGTGTGTTTACATCGCGGTCTAATATAATACTTTAATATTGTATAATTTTATTATATCATTATTAATATTATTTCCGAAGAAAATTTATAAAATCTGAAAAATTTTAAGATATTTTTTCAGAAATTTTCATAAATTTAAACTATAATAACAAATTCTTAAAAATATTATGAAACATGAGAATTTTTTAAAGAAAAGCTTATTAAAGATTGCAATTTTCGCAATAAGAAAATTTCAACAACGGAATACGAAGCGCGTTGTAATCCATGCTATTCTTTATTCGATTAAATTAAAAAGATACTCGCCAATTCAAGCGCTTTGATGATGATGGGTAGATGACTTAGAACCTTGTGCCTTTTAGCAGTTGGCTGTTGGCTTTGCTGGGCTTCATCCGCCATTCTCACTCGTCGATGTTTCCCTTTTCCGTCGCCCAGTTTGAAGGATTTTCAGTTCGATTTAATGACAATCGATTCTTTCTTCCCTGTGCGTGTCACCCTTACTCGTTTTAGCGACCCTAAAACGAGAAACGTGATAAATATCGCCCCTAAGGGAGTTGCACGTAAATCGTAAGGTTGAAGTCGAAGTGTGTACGGCGCAAATAAAAGACTGTAGAACGGATTATTCAAACGATAAGATATTTCACTGTGTTCTTGGTCTATTCCAGGTCAATTTTCCTTGGATAAATGCGTCGTAAATTATTTTTAAATTGAAACTGCGTTTTTTTTTTATACTAAATGATATCGAGATTCAAGTAAATTAACTAAAGTATTAGTAAATTATATATAAAATATTTCCTTAATAATTTCCTTAGTAATGACACTCATACAAAAACAAACATAGCATATAATTTGTAACAATTAAGTATAATAAAGATAACTAATAACATTCCATATACACAAGGTTGGGTAGTTAACTAAATTAAAAAGATAAAAGTTAAGTTAAAAAATTAAAAAGTTAATTAATTTTAACTTAACTTAGTTACATTTTACTTTTAACTTTTTAACTTTATTTAGTTACATTTTATCCATAACTATTAATTTTTTATTTAATTTTTTGAAGTCAAGTCTCAGACATAATACGCGGCAATAGCGATAATTTAAAATGATGAAAATGACAAAAGTGAGCAAATTTATTAGGTGTTGATCAATGAAATTATAAATATTCTAGTGAATTTGCTCCATTTTGTAATTTTCATCTCATTTCAAATTACACAATCGACCCCCAGATTTCAATCTGTCAGAAACCGTGTATTTCGATGTATCTAGTTTCTGATAGATTGAAATCTATTATTCCTTATTACTATCGCTATTCCCTTGTATTGTATTTTAAGCTTTAATCATATTACAGGCCAGTATTCATAGTCAAATCTTATACACTAAACAGTATATATAAACAAAACATGTAAATAAAATATAGAATATTTTCTAAATGAAGTATATATTTGCTATCCATTATTTGTAAGACTGAAATCCTGGAATCATGAATTAAAAAAATAAAAAAAAAATTTAACTTTTAACTTTTCAATTACTTTTTTTTATTAACTTGACTTTTAATTCAATGAATTTCATTATAAATTAACTTGTATCTTAACTAAGTTAAATTTTCAATTTTAACTTTAACTTAATTTAGTTAAAAAAAAGTTAACTACCAACCCTGCATATATAATACATATACATATATATATATATA